GGGAGACTGAGTGCAACGCAATAGAGACATCTTTCCTAATTTGACAACGCCAAGCTGCCTCCTTTCCCGAAAGGGTGCTGCGACGAATATTTCTTACAGTGTTGCATTCAGTTTATCATGAATATTCCCACCACAGAATCAAAAAATCAGGAATATGGACAGGATTAACTCTATGCACTGGAGGGCCTCGTGGAAGGATTCCTTGTTTTTTTGCTGAGGGAATTCGGTTGTGTAGCGGTTGTTTTCTTGTCTGTAGCCTGTTATTTTTTCCAATCATCTCTAAGTCACTTATTATGCGCAGGGCCTCCCCGCCTAAGGAGTCTTCAGCAGCCTGAGCCGCGCATGCGGCTTCCTGACATAACGCCAGAAACGACACAGCCCCCGATAGGAGTCTAATTTGGCCCCACAAAGCGTTGGTAGAACGCGCCTGGACAATATTTTAGGCTGCCTCTATCACGGTTGTGGAAATAAATTTCCCTTCAATTCCCCCCCTAGCGAATTGAGAAAGAAAAATATCTCTTGGGGGTTCTAAGCCATTCAAATTCGTGTAAACGCACGCCGAGGCCGGGGCGGGTAGCTGCTAGATGGACTGTCAGAAAATAAAATTTCCCAGACATTCCACTGGTTGCCGGGTAGCGCTCAAATGACGTCAGGCTAAGTATTCTAATCCCAACGCTCAAAAGATACCGGTATTTCAGCATAGGCCTAGCGTGTGTCCAACCGAATTTGACAGTACCGATATCCGACGGCCCGACGGGCAGCTTTGGCGTAGCAATCGGGCGTGAGCTTAAAAATATAACACCCGACATACAGCAATTGATCACCGGTAGCATGGCAATTGAGAAATTTCCCATTCCACTCTCAAGGCGGCACATGTGTGACACGACACATTTGTGCCCTGGGTCTTCCTGGCCAATAGGATTTACTTTCCCTCCCCCCACCTTCCACACCAACGCTCAGAAAAGTCCCCCCCAGGATTCAGATATTGCCTAGCTCACCCTGGCATCCACAAACTATTTCGCGCGAGTCCTGGTTTCTGCGCCTACCGTAATCAGACTCGGTGTTTCTCACGGAACCTCTGGCAGCCTCGTTCATACGTAGAGTGCGGGGCCCTGCGTGTCACGGTCTCCCTGTCGTGAACAATACAAGGGGCAGGCATATAGCGATCGCACACGCTACTTTGTGACCCACCAGTTTTCACAGATTTTTTGCTGGTAAGCCACTTTGGTGTGTGCGAAGACTTTATGCCGGCCCCTTGTACAGCCCGTCTCGTAAGATTCTCACCATTTCCTTATGCCCCAACAACTATGCCTGTCGGGAAAAGAGAACGGACAGAACAATAACTGTTTCTAGATATGCCCCTGAAGATACCAGTCTTGCAAGCTTTTACTGGAATCTGTTCTGCCGAATCAGAAGGGAGAGAGGGCTGAAAAAGTTGTTGCAAAGGGTACGAGGACATTACCACCGCGGCTATCCTGCCTGGTAAGTTGACGCGTTTTCAACTGCAGCCAACAAATCCGATGACATAAAGAGCAGGCGACAGAGCCTCCCCGGTGGGTGTCTTGGCACTCAGTATTTTCAGTATATAGACAGACTCTCTCCCTTCCCGCGGGATAGTGAAGACACATCCACACCCAACGACCACTCGCTAGGAATGAGCCATTACGGCCGGTATCTCCACCGATAGCTTCATCCCGGCCTGGTGAGACGAATTCTGGTATTAATCTAATTGAGCTTACCTCTAGGGTGCTTTCTTGGCTGTAGATCCGAGTGAAAAACAACCAACTTTTTACCGGGGTTGGTTCTTGGGGGCGAAACTTGGCTGGGAAGATAAGCAGGGGCCAGTGGTTGGGCCGGCCGTTTTCCCCGGCTGTTCCCCATTATTTATGTGTGCCAATCTCGAATCGTAATCCTTGATTCCCAAAAATACCGGTATCCTACAGCGCATATCCCGTCCAATATTCTATGACAGGATATATGCGAGCCTGGCTATTGCAACCCGGTGCTTACAGTGACTACCTAGCGGCCTCCTGCAATGCCTCTAACAACATTAACCACGCGAGCCCTTTGGTAAGCCTACATATTCCAGTACTACACTCAGAGATAGTGACTTCGGCTCCGATTGGTATTTGGCTTCGCTTCAGAAGAATCTAGTCACTCCATTGAAGCATCCCCAAAAACTGGAGAGTCACATTCTGCGCAAGTGAGACCGCTTAAAATCGCCACTTTCAGAGGAGGAGGCTCCGTGCGATGTGCCGATCAGTCTTACGCCGCCGGATAAAACCGTTCTGTCTGGTGACCTTTTTGCACCAAAATCGTCCGTTTTTTACCCCCGCTCAGATAGCACAGATGCCGATGTCATACCAAAAACTCACCCTAGGTTATCAAACTCCCGGAAAAACATGCGGGACTTTCATACAACTCTTGAAAATTATAAAACTGTGGGGAGAATGTTGTGTAAGTGGGAGTATCCCATCTGGCTGCTAACTCCAGCTCACAATTTCTAAATCCGCGCTTCGATGGGAAGAGGTCGGAAGTAATTTCCCCACTGATGTCAGGATCCCAATCAATGTCAGTAGGGCAGTACCAGCGGTGGTTACACCCCTGGCGGTTTTCCGCCAAACTTGGCGCGGCAAAATTTGCCAGAGGAAATGTTTTTGTTGGGGACTGTATACGTGCAATGCTGGCAATGCTCTACTCTAATGCGAATCACCGACATGGCGAACTGCTACTATTTTTTCCCTCTCCTTGGGTGGGTACATTTTTTTTCGAAACATACAACAGCCGAAAAAAAAAAGTTCTAGCCGCTAGCGCTTGTTGGTTCCAGGGTTGGTTACGGTGGGGGGTATTGCATACTCGGGTATCATATGATACAAGGGTAAGGCAGCCCCCCCAAACCTCTCCTCGTCTTGATTACTTTCAATCCGGGTAACAATACCTATATCTCATCCGCCAGATCTCCCCACTGCGGTCACCAATTCCCCCCCACCCCCGAAGGGCGCAATAGAAACAACATATATTTTAATTGGTCAGGTAGGTGCTCAAGTGCAGGTGCTGGTAACTGTAAAAATAAACTTGCGGATACTACACTAGTAGGTCCCTAGGCCTAGATATGGGCGAGTAACCCCTGCCAATTGAAAAGTGGGGGTCTTGGGTGGGGACGACCTTTTGCTGGCACCAAGGGTACTCACGATACATCACTGGGATTTCCAAACCCGGCTTATGTTGGACGAGCCCCCCAAATCGGGCGAGATATGCGGTAAGAGGGGAATCATGATGATGCAGTATTGAGAAGTGGTGTACTTATATCAGAAATCAGGTCACTAGCACATCTGTTTTCTATAAGCAGTGGGGCTTCTCCCCGATAGTGGTCAAATCAAAGTGAACATACTTCAACAGTTTAGTACCCATACAAATGGCACATTATATTCCGGAATCGGTCCCGCCCTTTATCAAGCCCTAGAATAGAGCTCGTACGGTACCCCCCTTGGGCCTAATTTATGCTGCTGGCAACCAGTAGGAGCGAGGACCAGGATGATCAGTGCCAGTGCAACGCACGGTCTTCCCCCCTTGTCCAGTGACAAGCGCAGCATTGGCACGGCCAAGCTCGCTAGGATCTGGTTGCTAAGCGAGCCAAACCCCTTGGACCAATGAGGGATACCGAGTGATAGTTGGTGTTGGCTATGGTCGAGGGTGGCCACGAATCCTTTGTGTGCAACGATGACAAACACCTCGCGCCTGGTCCTCTCGGTGTTCTTCCGAGAGCTTTCTCTCGAAAAACATCCCTGTTGGGGTAGATCGGAATCGAGTTCTTCTTGATCCCCTCTCCAGACTGGCTTGATAGAGCTATATCAAATGCTAGTCGCTTCCCAGTCAGAATGTTGAAATTGGTGAAGCTTCCATCTCCATGGTGTGTCATGAGAAGTTTTGGTTAGGATGGATAGGATGAGGTCTAAGAGCATTATGGTTCCGGGGTTGTCTTATTGTATGTATCAAGAGTCAGAGATGGAAAATGTTATGAGACGTGTGATGAAGTATAGTTTGTCAGAAAGATGTTTCGGAGGTTTCGGGAATCGAAGCCGATGTTGGTGAGTTAGCAATTGGGATCTGGCGTAGAGTTAAGATAATAGCGTGTTGCACTATGCTGTCTAAACAACACTAGGTATAAGGTGAGGAACAACGGAAATTGCATAAGTCTGGAAATCAATAGTTTTTATGGATTATCAAACAATGCTCTAGTCCGAAGAAGGAAAGTGTTGGACAATAGAGTTGTTTGATAATCCATTAAAGCTACTGATTTGGACATGATTTCCGGACTTATGCAGTTTCCGTTGTTCCTCACCTTATTTTAACTTCTCAGCGCGAGGTTCAATTATTCGAGTTTATACGGTATTTCTCCAATTCTTGGCATTGAAACCCTGTCTTGGCACGAAAACTAACACAGCCACATGTGACACATTTTTTTCCAGGCTCGTGCACGTTTTGATTGTCAGGAACCATATTTTTAATAAATTTATCGACTCATCGCGCGCAGTGGACTCCTTACGATAGAGAATGGCGGGCTCACACTTGGGAGGGTTTAAACGTCGGATCGGCGAGGGCAGTGGAGAGGTAGAAGGTAGTGTTTTTTGTTTCTTTCACGTCCTATGCCGGTTGGCATAGGATCTGACTCTTTTTGGTGGTTTTGTGTGTTTCTTTCACACCCTATGCCATTAGGCATATGGCAGTTTGGTTTAGGATCGTTCTAGATTGCCGGAGGTTGCGGAAAATTATGATGAGTTAGGATAGTGTGTTTTCATTTTGAGTTCCTTGTGTTTCCATGGTTGTTTGTGCTTTGGAGCTATATATCTCTTAGTCAGTCTTTAGCTAGATGGATCATCGATCACCGTTTCCACCACTTCTATCTTCCCATTTTTCATCTCTCATCCGCGCTCATTTTTTCACTTCACCGCTGTGCATTTTTGAGTTGTTTCTTCAAACGGGAGAATGACGGTGTTTTTGGTAAGGATATTTGCCCGTAAGTACACGAATATAGACGGAGGCTAGTATTGAAGCAAATATAAAGGAGAAGAAAATCTCCCCGGTGAATAAATGGTCTGAAAATGAATGAGAACCACAAGAGGACTAGCAGGAAATAGAGAGAGAAAGAGCTAGGAGAAGGAGACTGGGGAACGCTCGTGGGAGCTTGGGGGAATCCCACGATAAAAAAAGGAAAGTGTCCCACTCATAACAGGGGCTTTCGTAGCTCCCGGAGCTGAAGGGGAACAGACACTTGGGTGGTGCAGACATATGTGCACGGGTCCTATCGGCGGACTAACGACTGGTATTGGAGGAATCTCCTAATTCCGTGGCACGAATGGGAACGACGAAGCTAGGCCCTTTACCAAGGATGAATGGAAAAGTGGAACAAGAGGGGACAAAAGATAGAAACCCGGAGGTGTTATTGGCCCGGTTCGCGGGTGCTAAACGTTAAGCGTTAGCACCAATGGGGAGGGGAACCGCATTCCTCCTCCGTTATAACAGAAACTCCATCAAGCCAGGCCCAAAGAGTATAGGTAATGGGTTCGTCATCGAAAGAGAAAAATACGACAGAAAGAGGTTGGCCGGACATAGGAAGTGACTTGGAGGCTAAAGGAAAAAATCAAAGGTATCAGTGGTTCGACGGACCCCGTCCAGAAACACCCGACAGAGCCATCAACTCAGTGAAATAGTAGCCATGGTACAAGAAACCAGATACGGGGGAGTACACGGCTCCCGAAGTCGTTGTTGTACTCGGAACACGATGCTTAAGCGTAGCGCAAGTGGGATTCAAGAGGCAGTTTAACCCGATGCTGATTCCATACATGGATACGGAGATTGTCCTTCCTTTTTATCCCCTTGTCCCCGACCTTCTTGCAGCCGGGGACCGGACAATCTAAGCGTCCCTGGAGATGCTTCACTTCATGGTGGCGGGCCAAGCTTTGCTTAGTCTTGAAAGGGGATGGCCAGGGGCAGCCAGGCTCACTGCAAGCATAGCTTCTCTGAGACGGCCTTCGGGGACCATTACGAGTTCGAGAATGAGGTGCAGAAAGAGGAGCAGGAGGAAGGGGGCTGCAAAGAGGAATGCCTAGCCCACCGAAATTATCAATAGGGAGCTGGAAAGGCTGGCGAGGCTGACAAGAGAGATGGGAGCTTGAGGAGAAAAAGTTTAGAGGTTGGTTATCTAAATAGTGACTTGTAGGGTTCATATAGGACGTAGGACCAGTGACAGAGTAGAAGCCATCGTCGTCCAGGTATAGCGGAAGAGTTTCTGACCGTGGAGGAAGTGCATACAAGGTTCCAGCACCGTCAGCAAAGGCTACTCCCCAATCGTAAATGCCAGTGCCGAAGCGAAACCTGCCATTATCTCGTCAATAAATAAAACCTAGAGAGCATGCTTTATGCGAGGAGCCTAAAGTTTGGTATTGTAACCCCGCGTATAGCCAAACGTAATGTACGATCGAGGGCCGATAGATGTGCACCAGAGACATCAACTACTGCCCTGGCTTCACTATACACCATTCAGGATCGAAAGTGATATAGAAACCCCTGGGCAAGAAAATATCTGTCTCTAAGCCACCCAACGTAGTTGCCATCTTGCCATACGCGGCAGCGTGATACCATTTCAGGTCCAGAAGGTTGTGGGTGACTCACAAGGTCATGAAGTAAATGAGAAAGGGGAACTGTGCTTAGTGCAGTCGCCAATCGGTCCGCAAGTGATAAAATTGTATCCCGCAAGGAAAGATTCCATAGATGCCCATATCAAGAGAGGTAGAATGCACCATCGTCTATCGCAGAGCACTTTATATAATATTCGGAATATGGGTATGGGCAGTAAGGGATACCTTTCCTTGGCCCAGGGGAGTTGCGATCCTCGCATCCAGGGGAAGCGTGCTCCACTGGTGCTCTATGTCATGCTGAGGGCGGGGTCGGGCCCCGATGCGCTCCCCATGTAGGTGGACAAGACCGAGCCTGAAAAGCATATCTGCTGAGGACTGCATCTGGCCCGTAGTGGGTTGGCGAGATACAACAAACCCCATTCCTGCACGGTCCATTCTGTACAAATGAGCGGGGAGATGGGCTACCCTCTGGTTTAGCCTAAATTAAACCGCTAAACCTCCCATAGGCAAGCGGGAGAGGTGCCCGTTGCGGGCGGCAGCCGCTGGAGCAACGTGAGAACTCGGTCCAGCGAACGGCCCGTGAGGTCGCCAGAAAAAACTCCCCCACAGCAAGCAAAAAAAAGAAAAGGGAAGAGGGCCAGACTCTAGGTAGTGGGGGGATATTTGGTCAGAAAGCGGGAAAATTGTTAAAATAGAGTAACCAAATTCTTTGTCGCTGATCCTAATCCGCCGATCGCCCAGTTTCGTCGTTGGGAATCTCGCTTGCAGAAATAAGGTCTCTCTCTTTGGGTGCTTGTAGTCGAGGGTGCCGCAGGCCGTCTTGATATATAGCGAGCGCCCCAGCTATTACTAACTGTCACTTCGCACTTCTTTCCAATTTTCTTACTCGACGGTGCCCAACTGCGCACTCACTCACTTGGTACCAGCTGCGCACTTACTTCATTGATGGTGCGCCAACCTCGCACTCATTCAGTTCATGGTCCGCCAGCTACGCACAGGTGGTGCGTTCTACGTGTGGTGCAGAATAGGCAGCAGTGGGGGGGTCTTATACCGTTGCCATGTGAGCACGTATGGAGGATCGGCACAGCCTTTTGCTAAGTGGCGGGTTTCTGCCTACCCGCCGAAACGCTAACCACCACTCTCGTAACACCTTCACTACTCGAGCAAAGTTCGATCCATCGGTCTTGTCTCATATTTCCCATACCTGCATATTCCGTGGAGCCTGTGACTCGAAATTTCCCCGCTCGCGGTCCCCCAATCAATGTTGCAGACACCCGACTAAGTGCCCTACAAAGCTAGGGCATTTTGCGTAATAGCACTATGGTTAGTGGGTGGCGCTGTTGTAATGCTGTCCGCAGATGCAGTGGGCAGTTTTGCAGTCGCTACGTGCTCGTTCCCTAGTGGTCCGATAGAGATTGTTAAAATAACGACTCCTCCTCATCGTCAGATTCCGGCCTCTCCGCTCGGACCTAAGTGGTGCTTACACAAATTCTGTTGCCAAGCGCCATCGTGTCATCGGCACAGGCTAACGGTATCTGTGAGGCGCTGGAGTGGGTACACCGGAGCCAGCTAGTGTTCAGAAATTGGTTTACTCGAATGAAGGGTCATCGCTTCATGAACAACCGTTATACCGGTATGTCATGACTATAATCACTCTCAAGCTGCCATTCCCGATCTAGGACTCTGGCGGGTCCTGATGACTGTATCTACTTTTTTCCCTCGCCTGAGAATGGCCACTACCACTTGGCTCCCGAGTTTAGAATACGCACGTATACTGTACTAATATTGCAGTCACCTAGAAATTCACGCTCGCTCAAAACCGAGCGGTGTGATTACGGTTGCGGACTCTATAGAAAGTCTCCACCCCTCTAGACATCTATCATGTGGAAACATGCTATTTCTGGGCCTAGTGTTTCGGTGCTCTCACCACTATCAATTGGCGTTTGGAAAATCCTTTATCTACTCGATTCCGAGTGCACAAGATTCATTGCTAGTTTGAAACGGAATGCGAAAGAAAATTTGTTTTCATGCATGGAGCTAGAATTAGTAATTTCTTTTTTTTTCTTCAGTAGCCAGAATGGCAGGGGTTCTCATACCCCTCATTCTTTGCTTTTTTTCCTCATGTTAACAGCCATTTCGTCGATCAATTCTACAAGTCTAGCACCTATCTTTCCTTTCCGATCACTGTCCGAAATAATTATTTTTCACTGCCGTTCCTTATCGTTATGTATCGATCTCATTCTATTTTTTTTCCCCTCTCTTAGTTAGACCCATGCTAGAAGCGAATATACCGGCATCCACCCGCCTGCCGTATATACCTCATGCGGTGATTGCCGGACGCGGGGTTGGAAACAAGCCCTAGCAAAACAAGCAAACGGTATTAGTAAATAGAAGCATTTGCATTCTTCAACCGTAGCCTGCGGGACGCAGTCTCACCAACAACCTAGCCCTCGGACGCCCCATTTACGAAAATCCTCCAAATTGGATTATCGTAAGCTCACTGCTAGAATGCAACGCGCGGCAGAGTGGCTTCATGGAGGGCATTCTTTGCAGAAGATGGAAGCCGCCATCTCGTTCAGTCTATGGGCAAATCGGGTATCGCTAGTAGATCCTGCGGGCGGGTTAGCCCTAATTTCAAAATTAGGGGACACGAACAGGGACCCAATGGGAGCTGAACACGATCGCCTCGCCTAGCCCTATTGGTCAAGCTAGGGTCAACCCAACAAACTCCTTGGGCCGGTCAATGGAACCGATAGCGAAAATCCAGCAGGAGAGAAACCGAAGAGTATCAGATATTTTAGCAGAATTAATTTAACTAGGGCAACTAGGTTATGCTTAAAGAGAGTGAAAATTCAAGGATATGCTACCCCCCGGGAGGGGGCACGAGCTCCGCCAATATTTCACAATCGGATAGTGCACTATACATGCATCACTCAAAGTCCTTGTGAGTCGTAGCTGCAAAGCCTCACTGAGGCTCCACTGAAGCTCAAATATTGGCGGCTGGCAGGCCAGGTTTAATCCTATAAGTTTCGACGATGCCGGGTATAAAAATATTCCCTAAACCTCCCGCATGCCACATTCTACCCATATTTGAGCTCTTCCGGGAAAGGAGTAGGAATAGGATTGGTGTCGCGGGGAGGAAAAGTCGATCCAAAATCAGCGGTACTCACAAGCGTTGCTATCTGTATCTTGGCCAATAGACCTCCCTTTTATGTTCCTAGTACATTTTTCTTTTTTTTTGTTTATGTTGCAGGTTGTTAGAGGCAATGCATTGTAGAAGGGGTTCAACCAGCATTCCTGGCAAGTCCTCGGTCTTGGTGTTGTGAATCGTACTCGATAGTGTCTTGTTCCGTGCAGTAAAAAGTTCTAGTTCTTTACCAGTGTCAATATTTCGTATTCCGTTCTGTAACAATGTCTGCCGTACTCTCTCCACTTCCTTCTCCCATAACCATCTGCCCTTATATACATTGGCAATGAAAGGGGATTCCTTGCAGTCTCCCAATTTCCCAAAGCCAAAGGCCATGTATTGTAGATATAAAACGAGAAAAGAAATCCATTTTGAGAGATGTATGAAACTAACAATGCTAAGGAAAATACAGGGCTATATCCTCCACTTACAGCTGAGTCTGCTGGTTCCACTGTCGGAGGTGTTGGTGGGGTTACCGCTGCCCATGCCTCGCGGGATTGTTACCGCTGATGTATCCCATGCTGAGGCAGCAGCTAGGGCGTACCTAGCCTGCCGTGCAGAAGGTAACGTCTGTCTCCCGTCCTGAGGCAGGCTGGCCCGCTGCCTAGGCGAGCTGTCTCTGACTCTCTTGAAACCGTTTAGAGAGTGAGATCCGCTGTGCTGTCGAGTACTCGATGTAGGCCTTATAGGCATCGGATCGCCACCTCCCCAGCAGTTGAATGTCCGACTCTGGAATACCCCTTTCTGCAGCCCAAGTAGCAGCTCCTCTACGGAAGCTGTGGCCATTCTAGGTGCCCTGTGCAAGCCCAACTGAGGTAGCTAGGTTTTGCAGGCTTTTGACGACATGTTCCCGGGTGAAGGCGAGTTGCCGGTGTCTTCCGATACAAAATAGTGGTGAGGAAGGTGGTCGATGGTGGTCGGCTGCTAGAAAGCATTTTAAGGCATGTACCGGGCATCCAGCATCGTTGCTCGCTGCCATAGTTAGTGTAATTCCCTTTCGGAAGGGGTCTGTCTTGGATGGGGGCAGGGTTAGCTCCATGCACGTCCCGTCCTCTCTCACTCTTGCACTCTCTTTAGTCAGAAGCCACTGAGAGTATCATGTGCCCAGTTGCTGGTCAGCCTCTCTATAAGTGAATTCTCCCACCTAAGAAACCCGGCAAACGCAAGGGTAAAGGCTGCATAGAGTACCAGGTTATCGTAATTGTGAACTTGGAGGTGATTTAGAATTTGGAGGAGATGGGGGCGGGTGAGTGGTGTGCGGATTTGCCGTTCTGGTTCGTGATGGTCATACATTATTCCTTGAATCGTTCCTTCCAGTCTTGGGTCTAGGAATGCAATGCACTCAATTCCCAGGTCGAGTTGGTAAGATTTGAGACCTGCCAGGTAGAGTTTCATCGTCTTAACTTTGACAGTTCCGGCCAAGGAGCACAACCATTCGATCAACCACGTAACCTTCGCTGTGAAACACCCTCCATTGCTGTGGCGGTAGTCGGATAGTGTACAGAAGAGTGCAAAGCGAGATCTTGGACTGTCGTAGTTATGTCGGGTGGAAGGTGCAAGACCTCTCCTGAGATAGTAGGCTGCTATACGGGAGAGTCCTGATTGCTGTACGTTAGCCACCCATGTCTCTGGAGGGACCTGTTCTGATCTGTTAACTGTGGTGCTAAGTTAGTAATTCTTTCGTAGTCAAGGCGCGAGAGTGCATCTGCAAGGGTATTGGCATTTGTTGAGATCCATTCTGTGTCTACTTCCAGGTCGTATTCTGCTGCGAGAAGCAGGCACCTCCAAAGAACGTCCATTGATACACCATGGAGTGTTCGGTTTGCTAAACCGTAAGCCACTGTCCGGTTGTCGGTGTGTACAATCACTCTTTTTCCCCTCCATTTCCGTCCCCACCTTAGCAACGCCTGTTCTACAGCATGCATCTCTTGGGTATTGATATGTTCCCTTCTAGTGATGACGTCTTGTGGGAACGGTATGCAGAAAGCTGACTCTGCTTGTGGGATAGGATAGGTATTGCTTATAAAGAAAGCACCAAGACCTTTAGTGCTTGCAGCATCCATCCAGGTCAACATTGTATCCCGGATTTGAGAGGCCATTGACCTCTCTGGGGCTCGGGCAAGAGCCCTGTCCCACCACTCAAGAT